ATATATATATATATATATATATATACACGTATATACGTATTATATGCTATACACCAATGCTTAAATCCGTATTAATCGCTTGCTCGAAGGGTTGGCGTGTGCACGCTAATAATCACGTGAGTATCATTGCCTGTTCTACACGTGTACGATGCAGGAGGTCGTGCGTGCGTATAGAAAAGGTGTGCGTTGCATCGATCGTGTGTGATCTCAGTTTTTATTTTCCTTCCCCCCCCCCTTTTTTTTGTATTTCTACCGCGTTTCCTCGGGATTAACGGAAAACCGAGGCTTCTTTTCAGGGTACATATATACATATATATTAACTGGTTTTCTCTGCTTTCCTCTTCTTGGGTTGACCTAGCGGTGAATAACGTGTGTGTTGTACAGTTTCCTTGTAAATCCGGCTCATCTTTTTCTCTCTCTCTTTCTCAAGAGAGAGAGAGAGAGCGTGTTCTGAACGACTACGACTTTTTCAACAGAAATAAATTCTACTTAAGATCGATGAAAGAGTTAGATACAGAAAGATTTTCTTGCTAATTTTTTCTTTTTTTTTTAAAGAAAAATTTATTTTCATAAGAAATTATCGAACGAGAAAAATATTTTCTCATTTTTTTTACGCGTTTGAATAATAAAACGTTTCGCAACGTTGATCCATCTCACGCGATATAATCCTTTTGTCAATCTCGTCAAATATTCACCTTTCAATTAAAATAGATCTTTCAAACATCTCGTAAACTTGGACACGAACATTCGAAACCGTTCGAAACGTGTTTGAAACCGTTAGCTCTAGAAAAGAAGTGTTAGACGTTCTTCAACGTTTCCAGTCGTGCTCGTTCAGAATCGCAAATGGCGATGAATTACATGGCGGAGGATAAGGGTTAGAGCGGTTGTTGAGCAGCAAAGAATTGGCAGGGGTATGAGAGATCGAGAGAAAGAGAGTCGAGGGTTTTCAGGTACTACGGGATTAGGAGTAGGCGTGGGCCTAGGAGTACCGGCGGCTCTTCCACCCCCAGGAGCTGGGACTACGATTATGACGACGATGACTACCATGACTACCATGACGTCGATGACGACGATGCGTCCAGGAATCGGTAGTGCGCAGTGCCGTCAACCGCCTGCTTACAAAGTTGCGGCCCAGATGGCAAGGTTGCACAGGCTTGGCCGTGCCCACAGCCACGAGGGTGTTACCTACAGGAACGACCATGAAGATGGTACAAATGAAAAAAACAATCGCTAAAATACAATCTAATCTCTACCAAGTTTTTTTTTTTCTCTAGACGTGTATATACACTTTTTTTTTCTCTCTCTCTCTCCTCGAATTTAATACATATAGACATAATTTTTTTCGTCCTCGAGGCTTGCTTCGCTCCCCACCACTATCGATAATAATGGTGATGGGAGTGATACCTGGATAGAATTTCAGTGAATAGATAGTTTTAATCGGTTTTTTAGGACGAAGTTTTAGACGAAGAAATGTACATATACGTGGAATAGATTCATATTGTTCGATATATATATTTTTGAGATTGATTTTAAATTAGAGAGCAGTTTTATTTTAGATTAGGAGTTTGATTTTGAGATTATTGAGTATGCGATATGAGTATTATAATATTGATTATTACGACAGAGGTATGCATAGCTTGTTCGTTAAGATTCAATTAGGATGCATAGGAATGAGTAAGTTGGTGTTTATGCAATGGATGGTGAGGATAGAGAGTGAGTTGAATAGTAATTAACGTTTTCTTTGGAGGAATGAGAATTTTAGTAAATATTTGTATATACGAAAGACTGTTCCTTATAAAGATATTAAGTGTATATATTTTTTTTGAATGAGTAAGTAATTTAACTTATATTAAATTATACTTTATTTATATTATTTATTCCCAAGTGAGAAAATTATTTAAAATACTGTTTAATAGTATCGTTTATTTTTTATCATTTAGATAGATTGATTAGATGAATTATTAGTGAAATTGTAATTATTATTTAAGATACTTTTAAATACATCAAAGAAATCAAACTTAGTATATTATCGATAAATGCATCAGTCCCATCACTGATTATTGATGGATTATTAATGCACGGAGAAAAATGTTAATTATTAATGATTTTTTATCGTTCCACTTATTAATCGCGCAAAATTCGATCATTTTTGCCACATTTTCGTTTATTTTTTTCAAACATGTGTATCGATGTGTATATTGATCTTTCATTTCGTGCTTTGTTGCATCGAATGGAATCGTAATTTAAAATCGTATGTCATGAAAATTTATGCCAATAATTTTTTAAATTAATCAAATTCATTCATATATAACATTTTTCACCGTGAAGATCGACGAATATCCAACGACTCCATAGCGATGAATTCGATTAATTCTTCTCGATCTACGATGTAGATCGTAGGATAGAAAGCTCTAGTTTCTCCAACGTATCGTTATTTATCAAACGAAACACGTTTTGCGAAAATTTTCTTTCCTTCAATGGACGACATATGCTAATGAGACACTTACAATACACCGATCTCTTTCTACCTTTAAGACACTTCTACATCGATCGAGTACAATGTATGTATGGAAATCCACACACCAAATCGATCGACGATTCCGGAAAAGAATCGTCTTTGTTTGTTGTTCGATGTACTACATTTCATATTTTTCATATTTATCTCCTCGATGATCGCAGCATATTGTAAATAACGACCCATATACGTATTGTTCCACTTGTACATTTTTAATGCAAATTGCCTGTGTAACCATGCATTATCTGTGTGCATAACTCAAATTTCGTATTCTTTCTCATATATTTTATATATATATATATATTTGTTTCTCGATGTATTTCAATTTTAGTTTCTTCTTTTTATTTTTATTTTTATTTTTTTTTATTCTTTTTTTTTTTTTAGCATCATCCAGCGCGTTCACTGTGTTTATGTACAAATAAATACGCATCCTTGGCCAGGAATTTGTTGCATCTCGAACGAATTATAAATTGTATCGATGTACCTCTTGTGGCACTCGCTGTTTTATGGCTTGTTACGACCGAAATCGTCCGATTCCCAAAGGATTGCCCAATTTTATGTTTCACATTTGCATATTGTATAGTTTCG